CCGAACACCACGAACATGAAGGATTCAAGGACCTCATTCTCCTTGATCTTGAGATGGCCGAACCCACTGCCCCTCCCAAACAGCCCCATCCTCTAGCCATCCCCATCCTTGAACAATATGCCCACGTCTTCCCCGAAGATGTACCACACGGCCTGCCCCCAAAAAGAGATATCCAACACAAGATCGACCTCATTCCCAAGGCTGCCTTACCGAACAAACCAGCCTATAGAATGAATCCCGAAGAAACAAAGGAGATCCAACGTCAAGTGGATGAGTTACTAACAAAGGGCTTTGTTCGTGAAAGCCTAAGTCCTTGTGCTGTCCTAGCTTTGTTGGTACCAAAGAAAAATGGTACGTGGAGAATGTGTTGGGATAGACGAGCCATTAACAAGATCACCATCAAATATAGGTACCCCATACCTAGGCTCGAGGATATGCTGGACGAACTTCACGGTTCGAAGGTTTTCTCAAAGATTGATCTTAGAAGCGGTTATCACCAAATCCGTATCTTCGAAGGTGACGAATGGAAGACTGCCTTCAAAACGAAGTTTGGCCTCTACGAATGGTTGGTTATGCCATTCGGGCTGACCAATGCCTCGAGCACATTCATGCGATTGATGAATCAAGTATTGAAGCCATATATAGGTCACTTTGTCGTGGTCTACTTTGACAACATATTGATCTATAGCAAGAGTGAAGAAGAGCACGTTAACCACTTCATCTTAGTGGTTAAGAGATTGGATGAAGAGAAGCTTTATGGGAACCTTGAGAAGAGCCAATTCTTCTCACAAGAAACTGAATTCTTGGGATATTTTATCACAAGTGAAGACATCAAGGTGGACGAGAGGAAAACGCAAGCCATAAGGGATTGGCCCATTCCCACGTCAATGCAGCAAGTACGGAGTTTCCATGGCCTCGCATCATTCTACCGAAGGTTCGTGCGAGACTTTAGCACCATCATCGCACCACTCACGAACCTCACCAAAAATCAAAAGTTTGAATGGAATCCGAGAGCTCAACAAGCCTTCGAAACCATCAAAGAACGGTTGACACACGCCCCCGTGTTAGCCTTGCCAAGCTTTGAGAAATTGTTCGAGGTCGAGTGCGACGCATCCAGAGTTGGGATAGGAGTTGTCATCTCCCAAGAAGGCCACCCGGTGTCCTATTTCAGCGAGAAGATGAATGATACGAGAAGGCGATATTCAACTTATGATAAGGAGTTCTACGCTCTTGTTCGGTCCTTAGAACATTGGCGTCATTACTTGGTCAGCAAGGAGTTCATACTTCACTCCGATCATGAGGCTTTGAAGTATATTCAAGGACAACACAAGCTTCGACCCCGTCATGCCAAATGGGTCGAATACATACAAACCTTCACCTTCACCATAAAGCACAAGAACGGAACTTTGAACAAAGGAGCCGATGCCCTCTCCCGGAGACACCTATTACTAACGGCCCTTAGTGCCAAAATTGTTGGTTTTGAATTTTTGCAGGAGCTATATAAGGAAGACGAAGACTTCAAAGACACATTCTCCAAGTGTCTTGTGCGGCCTCATGGAGAGTTCCTCATCAAAGATGGTTATTTGTTTCGAGGAAATCAATTGTGCATTCCGAAATGCAGCCTTCGAGAGACCCTCATTGAAGAAGTGCATGGAGGTGGACTTGCTGGTCACTTTGGCATCGAGAAGACCTACATGCTTATGCGAGAACACTACCATTGGCCAAAGATGGAACGAGACGTGGAGCACTACATCAAACGGTGCGCTGTTTGCCAAACCGCCAAGAGCCACTCATTAGCCCAAGGAAATTATCTTCCCCTCCCCATCCCCACGGCACCATGGGAAGATATTAGCCTCGACTTCATCACGGGGCTGCCTAGGACACAACGAGGGAAGGACTCAATCATGGTCGCGGTAGATCGGTTTTCAAAGATGGCCCATTTCGTGCCATGTCTAACCACACATGATGCTTCACAAATCGCTGATCTTTATTTCCGCGAGATCGTCAAGTTACATGGAATTCCCCGAAGCATGGTATCGGATCGAGATAGAAAGTTTCTTAGCCATTTTTGGATGACACTTTGGAGAAAGATGGGAACTAAGCTCAAGTTTAGCACCTCTCACCACCCTCAAACCAACGGTCAAACAGAAGTGTGCAAACTCTCGGTACGTTGCTACGGGTGCTTATCAAGAGGAATATAAAGCAATGGGAAGAACTACTGCCCCATGTGGAGTTTTCATATAACCGGACACCAAGCAAAACAACCGGATTCTCTCCATTCATGGTTGTTTATGGCTCAAACCCCCTTACCCCACTTGAACTTGATCCTATTATGATAAAGCAGAAATACAGTGCGGAAGCCGAGGAACGAGCTAAAGAGATTCAAGACCTTCATGCCAAGGTACGAGAGAAGATTGAAGCCACCAATGAAAGAGTGAGTGCGCGCATAAACAAGAGAAGGAAGTCTGCCAAATTCAAACCCGGAGACTTAGTTTTGATTCACCTTAGAAAAGAGCGTTTCCCCACGAAACACAAGTCCAAGCTACTACCCCGAGCGGATGGTCCCTTTGAAGTACTAGAAAAGATCAATGACAACGCCTACAAGATCAACCTACCCGGAGAATATGGAGTCTCCGCCATGTTCAACATTCCTGACCTCAGTCCCTACTTTGAGCCGGAAGATATCCCGAGTTTGAGGTCAAACTCTTTTGAAGAAGGGAAGGATGATATACCCCGGGATGCACCTTCACACACGCCACTAGTGTTACAACAAGTCAAGTGTTTAATGTCTAGGTGTTATGATCCATTTTGGGTTGAACTCATTGACCCGTCCCACATTAAAGCCCGAACCATGACCCTTCTCTCCCAAAACCCAACCTAGGCCGAAATGCCTACAAGCCCAACACACTCCCACATATCCAAAAGTATTTCATTTTCCTTTAATAACCAAAAAAAAGTCCTTCACCTCCCTTGGAAGCCATGGCTGAAAATCTAAGAGATAAGGACAAACAAAATTGCTTTATGTGTGCTGTTTTCTTTCGTAATATTCCCTACTTTGAATAAAACCTTCCCCCACCTTTCCCTACTTCAAACCCACGAAAATACACTCCCTTTTGGCCTTGGAATCCATCTCCATTCATCCCAATCCATTACAAAACACAAAAGACCAAATCAGGAGACAAGGATTAAACATGTCTTGTCTTGGTGTGAAAATCATTCAAAACCATCCCCCTCACTTTCCTTGTCCCATGGCCGAATTCCTCCACCCAAACATCCCCCAAATCACTTCTCAAACCTATAATAAGGCCAAAGGAATAAACAACCAATCCCTTGATGTGTCACCTACCTTACTTTGCATAAATGGAAAAAATGACACACTCCCTCACCCTATACCCTTCACTTGGCCGAATTTCCCCACCCAAAGACAGCCCATTTCACCACCATGAGCCCCTTTTAGCCTTGATCAATGAGGACAACCTATGGGATCCATCAAATAGACATTATGCACTTGAATTGTAGGAAAGAGGTGAAGTTTCCTTGCTGTTTTCCCTATATATTTCGGCCCTATGGCCTTGTAAAACTCATTCATTGTATTCCATATCTTTACTCTTTGAAGTAATATTTGAGTTGGTGTGAAGCTAATTCTCTCAATTTCCTAATGAAATAACTCTAAAGTTGGCTACTTTTGAGTGTGTGTTAGGAGTCTATTTCATATAATAATAGTGAATATTATTGTGTGAAAAGAAACAGCCCCAAATAAAATAAGAGTGTGTTTATCTCTTATTCATTATTTCGTTTATCCTTATACAACAAAAACCACAAAAGAACTCTCTCTTTCTCTCCCAATTTCGTCCACCCCGTTTATCCCATTTAAACACTTCATTTCTTCATCAAAAAACCACTCCATAATATTGCTTTTCTCCTGCCCTTCATTCTGCCCTATCACCTCTTCCAAAGAACAATACTTTCTTCACCATTTCATACATAAATCCAACCTATTCTTCACCATATATTCCCCTCTATAATCTGCCCTTATTTATCCATAGTTTTTCCTAAGCTTGGGTACATCAATTTCACTTTTCCATGAGCAGCATACACCCATCACCTTCTATCCGTATTGCTGTCTTGAGAGCTCTAATAATCGATTGTTGAACACTGGCAATCGACTATTGAACCTTACTGAACTTCCCTGGCATCAGCAGCGAACCCCAATAATTGATTATCAGTTATTGATAATCGACTATTTGCCATCCCTGAACTCCTGGGTGTAGTAGCACCATTCAAAAATAACCAGCCCAAAAACTACATTATTCCCTTTCCCTCTCCCCTTCACTCCTGGCCAAAAATCCCTGCCCAAAACCCATGCCATAACCCAATCCTTGTTCCCCATTATGTCCATCAACTTGGATACACAAATAGCCACTAGAATCCAAGACATAATGACCCACCTTTACACCAATAAAACCTTATCTTGTTCCCCTTAAAACTACCCACAAGAAACCTCAAAAACAACCCACCATCCCCTACACAATTCCTTCCCCCCTTGGCAGAAATAATCCACCCATTCATCAATAAAGTGACCTGCATTGGCATGCCAAACAACCCCACAATCCCAGGCACCCATCTCTCATTTCAGTCCATTAAGGAGACAAGAATAAATGGGTATTATCCCATGTGTTTGAAATAGTTGCTTCCAGGAAGTTTCCTTATGTCTACATTCAATGTATTGTGTTTTTCTTTCCTCTTCCCCCTTCCCTATATAATCAGGCCCTATGGCCAATGTAGAAACATCTTTGAATATTAAAAAAACCCATTTACTCTTTGAGTATTTATAAAATAGTGTGATGCTATTTTAGCCAAATTCCTAATTCTATATCTTAAGAGTGGTTATCTTAAGTATGAGTTTTAGGTTCTAGATATTTGATTAAGTGTGTCATATCTTAATTAATTTCTAGATTCAAACTCCAAGTTAGGATAAGAGTGTAATATCTCTTAATCACCAACTTGGTTTATCCATCCCTGATTTTTTTCCATTTCTTATCACCACATTTCTCCTCTTAACCTTACTCTTTTCTTCCACTAAAAACACCCAAAAGAACTCCTTCATCATCCCCATATATTTCCAAGCCATTCCCCCACAAAACACCCTTCTTCCTGCCTAGAAATCTGTTAAATAATCAATTATCTTTTTAGGGAATCGATTATCAGCCCTCCGTAAAAACATCTGTAGCCTTCAACAGTCGACTGTCTTCATTAGACAATTGACTATCAGCTTCCCTAGAACTTCTGCAGCCTTCAATAGTCGAGTGTCTCCTTTTGTCAATCGATTATCACATCCCCCAGGATTCCTACAGTCTTACAATCGATTGTCTCCTTCTGTCAGTCGAGGCTGAAATTTTCAGGAGCAATTTTCAGCAGCCTTGTTTTTGTGCAACATGGGTGAAGCTGGTCCTCCAGTAATCGTCGAGACTTGAGAAAGTCGTCGAAGTTGAGCTCTGATACCAGATGTTGTACCCGAGATCCGGGGTCCTAACGAGTAGCTATTTTGTGGCGGATTTTGCGGAAGGAAATGGATGAGAAGTGATATGGTGAAAAAATGTGGATGGTATTCTAGGAGTTCTTTTTTTTTTGGTATTTTGATTTATGAAGATAGAATAGAATGTGGCTTAGGATGAGAAAATGGAGAGGAGCGAAATGGGTAGAAAACAAGGATGGATAAACCAAATAATGAATAAGAGATAAACACACTCTTATTATTTTTGAAGCTGATATCTATTTCACACAATAATAATCACTACTAATGTATAAAATAGAGTCCTAACACACACTCAAAAGTAGCCAGCTTTAGAGATATTTCATTAGGAAATTTGGCTAATATAGCATCACACTATTTTAAAGGAATTACTCAAAGAGTAACACAAGTTTTCATTTAATAATCTGGTGTGTTACAATGGCCTCATGGCTAAAGTATTTATACAACAAAATAAGGAAAAATAAAAGCAAAAGGAAGGAAGAATACAACAAGGAAGTTTCCTACTTCTTTCCTACAAATCAATGCTTAATGCCCATCCATGTGAGTTGATTTTCCATGATGCTTCTCCTGATTTTGAGCTGATCTTCTTTGGGTTTATTTGGGTAGAAATTTCATGCCTTTATGGAAGGAAACAAAGGGATATCAAGCTTTTGGCATTTGTGATTAAAACGCCAAAACAGTACTATTCATTCAATGACTTTGTTTGTGATTTTTGTCCCTTTGTGTCAAAAGTGATTATGTTTTTGTTTTGTGAAACAAAAGACGTTATTCTTTGTTGAAAATCAGGAAATAATTTTAGCTTTATACCCAAGCTTAGAAAAGGCAAATAGGAATTGAATAACACTGAGTTTCAAGGTTCAGGGATGTGGAATAATCGATTACTATCTCTGGATAATCGATTTACAAGATTTGGTTTCAATCCGGAAATGTTCAGAGAAACCAAATAGTCGATTGACATTCAAAGACAATCGATTATCAAGAGCTTGCTCGAAGCTGGGTACTTTCAGAGAGTAGAGATAATCGATTATTACTGGTAAGATAATCGATTATGTGAGGTTGCTAGTTTTGCGAAGAAGAATCAGAGAGCTATAATAATCGATTATCAATTATGTATAATCGATTATTCAGGGCTTCAGAATCAAGGTTGGAAGAGAAAGTGGGAAAGGCATAATTTGGGTAAAAAGGATTTTAAAAACAAAGGTTTTAAAAGATAATAAGAAACTAAGGTTTGACTTGTCTTCCTTTGATTTCATTTTTGACCTGGAGTTGAAAATTGATGGGAAAGACTTTATTTTGAATTAAAGAAAAGAAAGAAGACTTTTGGATATGTTGGGAGAGTTGGGATTTTGGTGGAGCTATCCAGGGGTACATCATACTCCCCTTCTTCAAAGAAAGTTTGTCCTCAAACTTTCGCACCACCGTTGAAGATTGGGTTTTCTTATAAGAATTCCTGGATCAAATGGGAAAATTGAGAAACCACCAATGATGAGGTTCTTTCCGGAATAAGTTGGCACATTTTTTTGTACTGTCCGGAAAAATTTAAACACTTTTAGTAGAACCTCCTTCACATATTCTTCAATGATTGGATGAGATTCTCCGTCACTAATTAGATGATAATATTTTGAGGAAACAACTTCCTTAAAACATATATCACCTAGTGTAGCATCCTCCACGACATCCTTTTCAAAGAAGTCTCCACAACTAAGGAAAGAATCAATAAAGATTGAATCTTCTTGTGGCTTAGAAGTTTGTTCTTCTACGAAGACATCTTCTTCATCTTTGACATGGTAATCAAAGACATCTTCGTAATTGCCATCCTGTTGATTCTCATATGCTGCTATGATCCTTACATGCTCTTCTTAAGGAATGGCTTCTTTATTTGTGCACCTCCAATAATGATGGCCATAGCCACAGCACATGTAGCACCGTTTAATAGGTCCTTGAAGGATTGCCTCATTTGCATAAATAATCTCAAGATTTTTGAAGTATGGTTGGATATCCATATCTCAACAACAAGAGATTGGAATGTAGTGATTCCAATCTCCCCATTATCTCCCCATTTCTCCTCTTAACCTTACTCTTTTCTTCCACTAAAAACACCCAAAAGAACTCCTTCATCATCCCCATATATTTCCAAGCCATTCCCCCACAAAACACCCTTCTTCCTGCCTAGAAATCTGTCAAATAATCGATTATCTTTTGAGGGAATCGATTATCAGCTCTCCGTAAAAACATCTACAGCCTTCAACAGTCGACTGTCTTCCTTAGACAATCGACTATCAGCTTCCCCAGAAATTCTGCAGCCTTCAATAGTCAAGTGTCTCCTTTTGCCAATCGATTATCACGTCCCCCATGATTCCTGCAGTATCTTATAATCGATTGTCTCCTTCTGTCAGTCGACTATCAGCCCCTCCTGAAGTTTAAAGGTTGTTCTAGTTTGCTACCAATTCCTCTGTGATCCCACCCTGAAATTATCTACATGATAAGACCTCGGGTTCGGGTATAACACTTTTGAGCTTCCCAACTCTACCTGGTATCTGTTATAATAGGATTAAGCTCAAGTGGGGTTAAAGGGTTCGAACCATAGACACCCGTAAAGCGAGATAAGCTTGTGGTCTTGTTCGGGGTTCTATTGTATGCAAACTCGGCATGTGGTAATAGCTCCTCCCATTACTTGATGTTCCATTTGATGAGGGCTTGGATGAGAGTTTCAAGTGTTCGGTTGGTGACATCGGTCTGCCCATCGGTTTGTGGGTGGCTAGATGTACTAAACTTGAGTTTAGTACCCAACTTTCTCCACAAGGTCATCCAAAAGTGGCTTAGGAATTTTGTATCACTATCCGAGACCATGCTTCGGGGAACGCCATGGAGTTTTACTATCTCTCGGAAGTAGAGATCAGCCACTTGCGAAGCATCATAGGTGGTAACACAAGGTACGAAGTGCGCCTTCTTCGAGAATCTGTCCACTAGGACCATGATAGATTCCTTGCCCCGTTGTGTCCTAGGCTGCCCGGTGATGAAGTCCAAGCTAATGTCTTCCCAAGGTGCAAGTGGGACTGGCAGCGGGAGATGCTTTCCTTGCGGCAAGGAATGTCCTTTGGCTAAATGACAAGTATGGTAGAGTTTTACGAAGTGATCCATGTCTCGTTCCATGACCTGCTAGACCGCCGGGCTTCACGAACACTACACTTCAGGATGCACAATCGATTACCATGGAACAAGTACCCGTCTTTGATGAGGAAGTCTTCATAGGTCCGAGAGAGACACTTAGAGTAGGTGTCCTTGAAGTCTTCATCTTCTTTGTAAAGCTCCTACAAAAACTCAAAACCAACAAGTTTGGTACTAAGTACCATTAGTAATAAATGTCTCTGGAACAAGGCATCGACGCCCTTGTTCATGGTTCCATTTTTATGTTTGATGGTTAAGGTGAAGGTTTGGATGTATTCAACCCATTTGGCATGTCGGGGTCGAAGTTTATGCTACCCTTGGATGTATTTCAACGCCTCATGATCGGAGTGAAGGATGAACTTCTTACTTAAAAGGTAGTGCCGCCAATGTTCAAGTGAACGCACCAACACATAGAACTCTTTGTCATAGGTGGAAAATCACCTTCTTGTATCGTTTAGCTTCTCGCTAGAGTATGACACCGGATGCCCTTCTTGGGTTAGGGCAGCCCCTATGCCAACTCCTGAGGCATCAGACTCAACTTTAAATAGCTTTTCAAAACTAGGAAGGGCTAATACGGGAGCATGTGTTAAATGTTCCTTGATAGTTTTGTTGGTTTTCAGATTCCATTCAAACTTCTGATTTTTCATCAAGTTTGTGAGGGGGTGATGATGGTGCTAAAATCCTTCACAAATCGCAGGTAGAAAGATGCAAGGCCATGGAAACTTCTAACTTGTTGCATTGACGTGGGAATGGGCCAACCCCTTATGGCTTGCATTTTCTTTTCATCAACTTTGATTCCTTCACTTGAGATGAAGTATCCCAAGAATTCCGTTTCTTGAAAAAAGAATTGGCTCTTTTCATGGTTTCCATACAGCTTCTCTTTGTCCAATCTTTTAACCACCAAAGTGAGGTGATTAATATGGTCTTCTTTGTTCCGGCTATAGATCAGAATGTCGTTGATAAGTCCGTTTTGTTCTTATCATTTATATCATATTCTAAACGTTATTGCACGTAAATGATATTTAATCATCTCATAAAATGTGATTTTCATGGATAAAACTCTCATTTTCGTTCTAAGAGTCATAAATAGGGATTCCACATAAAATCATCATAAATTATCCATTTTATGTTCAAATTCTTGAGAAAAAGGGAATAAATCATCAAAGGATCAAGATTCGGGCTTGAACGAGCTTCCGGGAAGATAAAATCGACGTTCGGGCCAAAAATCAGTGAAATTGGGCCAAGATCTCGTAACAGCCGCGAAGCCCAACGGACCAAGGCCTCAAGGCGTCCAACTTGGATGCTTGGCCAATTTGGACGCTTGGAGTTGGACGCCTTGGCTGGATTGCAGATCAAGGAAGACACGTGGCAAGCAGCGAATGGACGGGCCGCGTAAGGCGTCCAACCTTGGACGCTTTGGATCCGGACGCTTTGACTTGGACGCCTCAGCCTATGTCCTATAAATATAGCGCGATTCTCCCCATTCAAAACATCACTTTCACTCCCATTTTCGGGAATTAAGCTTTATATTCCAATTCCTAGTATTAGTTTAGCATTTTAGTAGTTTTAGAGTAATTTTTGGAGGAATTCTACTCCCGATAAGTTCTATTCCGCTTTTACGGAAGTTGTAAGTTTTCTTTATTTAATAAAATGTTATTGTAATTTATGTTTGCATAGTATGAGATAGGGTCCGGATCTCTGGGTCCAGACTAGTTTGGTTGTTTTTTTGTTAAATTAATGTTGGAATGTTTAATCAATTGTTCTTGCCTTATTTAGTTAATTATTCTCGAAAGATTTAATTAGCTATTTATTGAGAAAATATTTTATGCCAAAAGGCTATGATATTCAAGTACAACGGATTAAGTACAAATCTAGAAATGGATGAGTAGTAATAGAAATATTATTATTCCAATTGTTAATTTAATATGATAAAATAGATCCGAATGATGTCCAGACCCTAGGTCCAGATCTATGCTTATACTATGTAAACTTAATTTATTATTTTTACTCCACTCCCTTTTTACAATCGCTCTGAGAAGACTTTCATAAACCAATCCTAACCTTCGCCTAGTTAGAGTAATTAAACTGATTCCCTTCGTCCACTCCTCGAGAGACACGACACTCGGAGAGAAAACTAACCCTTTATTGGGGAGGTTTACTACCCGAAAAACTACAACTGTCAAATGGCGCCATTGTCGGGGCGTGGTACGACATTAGTTTAATTTCTTCTTATTAGCTTGGATGAAGATTGGTTTGAACGATCTTCTCACTTCTTTTTCACCAACCACCCGTAATAATTATTATGGATAACTCCAGTGGTTATTACGGTCCGCCTCCTTTCTACCAATCACCAAACTGCCCTCCATTTCAACCCCACCAAACCTATCACTCACATCAGTACCCATACGATGATGACTACCAAGTCAACAATGGGTCTGATCTGACTACTATCCCTACCATGAGGAACCACCATATGACACCCCGTCTAGAAACTTTGGATATTCTCCATACCAAGATCCTGATGGGGATGATTATTATGAACCTCATGGTGATCAAGATGACTATGTCCAATAATGGCCTATGTATGACAATCAACATGATCCTCTCGTCAGAGAAATCATAAGATTAGAGCAAAAGATCTTCTATTTCGACGAGGTTTTATTCGCTGAAGGCTCCTGGTACGAACCACCTTACTCCTATGACTACACCTTGTTTGCTGAAGAACAAATTGAAGCAAACAAGGTGGCAATTCGAGAAAGAGCAAAACTTCTTGAATCAGTCCGGAAGGAAAAGGAGTTCGCGAAGAGATTATGCGAAGGATCAGAAATGATGCAGAAAATGTTGTGCGACTTTCAAAGAGAGAGACTAGAAGCTGAGTCTAAAGCCGATAAATTAGTCAATGATCTCTGTATGGTTGTTGAACTTAAACGCTCCCTCCAATCTCAAATAAGGGAGATTAATGTTCAAAAAGAGGCTCTAGAACCTAAGACCAACCCTGAATCCATCAACCAACAGGTTCCAGTTCTAGAAGATTCACCCAGTTTTACACCATCACAGAAACCCGAGAGCATAACAACTCTCGCTAGGGCTACTGTGGTGATGTTACCTAAATCCCTTCCTAGCCAAGTCACAACCAGCATAGTCGTACAGAAGGTGGAACCAACTAAGGGACCTGACTCAGAACCACCTATGCTTAGTCAAGAAAAGGAGGAGGAAGTTTTGCCTATAGCAATAAACGGCCATCTCCTTAATTGTGTTGAAGACACACCTCCAGAGGAACCTGTTCTGGAGGAGATAGAGCCCACTACAAGCCCCCAAGATTCCAATGTCCACGAGTCTAAGGAGGAACCTATAGATGAAGAAAAGCCAACTCCGTCTATAGAACCCTATGCAACCAATGATTCATCTGATGATTCAGACCATACTTTCTTTGACTCCCTACTTGACAGGTATGACTATGTCTGCCCGAAGGATGGTTGGAACTTAAAGAGTTGGGATGAACTTCTGGTGAGTGACGACGAGGACTCTTCCTTGGGGGAGGGTACGATCATAATCATCAAACCACAAATGGATAGTCAGTCAATTGAAGATAAGGAAGAAATCAATTTCGCAATCAAAGCCAATGATGTGGATCAATTGAGGAGACTTCCGCCCCCACCCACTTATACAAAGTCTCCTCCATATATCCTGTTGCCACCCAGCCGCAGGGATGAGTCAAGGATCCTGGACCTTGACCGAGCAACAAATCAAACAAGATGGCACCAGAAGAGAGTCAGAAGGGCCAAACTTTATGACTCTCGGATCGGGAAGTCGCAGAAAAAGTGGGTGAGCGTCAAGCTACGGGCGTTAAAGAAGCGCTTAAACAGGAGGCAACCCGTCATTCAGATAATTAAATTATTAAATATGCTTACTTGTTATTTACTTGCCGCACCAGTTGGGGGCAAGATTTTACTTGCTTTACTTTTCTATTTCAAACAGATGGATGTTGCTTGGATGATCCCGCATGGAAACCGCCGCACATTACAGAATCTGGAAGAGCTCCCCTTGCACTCAGAAGAAGCAAAGAAGAAGTTTCTCACTTGGGGAAACTCGAAGATGCTCTAGCCTTCCATGGTGCTAGACCCTGCCTATCTGGATGAACTGGGCACTGGCAGGACATTGATGAGTTGCTGTACGACCCAAAATGGAGGATCCTGCTATTCCTGCATGCACCAGCCAGCCTGGAAGTCACCATCGAGTTTCTTTGCTCTCTCCGCTTCCTGAATGACGAAGAGGAAGTAAAGTCAGTAGCTGAAGTCACCTCCACCACCAAGGTCACGTTCACTATGATGGGACGACTGCTGAACCTTACTGTGGCAGACTTAGGGTGGCTGATTGGTCTTTACACGCTTGATGAAACGCGGAGCCTGGCCTTCGCTAATCTGCCCGACCAGTTGGATCCAAAATTTGATGCTAAAAAGTTCTGGCAAGCTCATGGGCATGGTCGATTTCACAGTGGAGCAAGCTTAGCTAGGAATTGGGCACGACCGTCTTGGAGGATTTTGCACCATGCATTGGCTCATAGCTATTTCGGCCGCTCTCAAGAACCTGACGTGGTGTTTGATTCCGATATGCTATTTTTCTGGAGTCTAGCAACTTTTGTGGCTCGATTCCTATTTGCTCAGTCAACTTGCAACCACCAGTTTGTCTTGTGTGGGCCAATGGTTACGCTTCTGGCTCGAGGATTATGTATGTCCGTTCCCGATGTTCTTCCAAAATCTACAAGCATGTTCCGACCACCGACACAGTATTTGGCCCAGATTGTTTATAATAAGGAAGACAAGGAGGCACATCCTAGAAAGCAGCATACGATTCCTATGACCCTTCGCGAGCTTTCGCAAGCTATGTTTGCATTTCAGGACTCTGTAGACTCTCGCTTAAGGAGCATGGAGACGCTCCTTCTCACGCAGCAGTGGCAGGTGGAGGAAATACTTGACTACGTCCGGGAACAGGGAACAAAGAAAGCCGAGCATGGGCAGGTCCTAAACAAAGCAAACGTCAGGGGTAGTGAGATCCTTAATTTTCCTATTACTGCATTCAGAACATTAATTTTGGATATTTATATGATCTTACGTTAGAATTCTTCTTTTCATGACTCTTAAAACCCTTTTGAGAATATTTTATGAATTATTTCATACTTACATGTTATGGTCATCTATTATTTCAATCTTCATCTTTGAATTTTATAAGTATTGAGATAACTTAGCAATTGCATGTGAGCATTTCAACAATTAACTCCAATACCAATAACACTCTTAAACCACGAGGGCGTGGTTCCATTTAAGTGTGAGGAGGAAAGAGTTCTTTGTTGAAATGATCTTTTTAGGAATTGTTTTGTCTATATATTTTTAGGAAAAGATTTTTATAGAATAGTCATCAATTTTAATTGTTTGATTAATTAATCTTTAGTTATCACCCGTAAAAATTGGAAATTTTTAAACTTTTTATCAAACTTCTATTTCTACTCTAACCTTTTTGGGAATGTTTTCTAAAATGATTTGGGATAAATTCACAATTGTCTAAGAGTTTTTAAGATCAGTCAATTTTAAGTTGCTTTATTGAAAATCTTTTTGCAAATATTCATCTATCTTTTGGGCTCTGAGTATTTGTTTTCTTAAAAAGAGTTATTTTCAATGTATAAGGGGCGATGTTTCAAAGCATACTTTGGTGAGATCGGGATTCTTGTTTTAGCCAAAAAGCAGTTGGTTCTAAGTCAATTGATGAGGCGTGGTGAGTATGCCGAAAAGCACGTGGTTCTATATTGCGTGATGAGGCCTTTTGAGTGTTAGAGTCAAAAAGCATGCGGTTCTATGTCGTGTGATGAGACTTCCCAGAGTGAATATCCAAAAAGCTCGTGGTTCTATGTCACGGGATGAGGTTATAAATTTTTCTTGTGTCAACATGACAAAGTTATGCCAAAGAAAATTAAACCCTTATACTTTAATTAATACTTTTGCAAGAACATGTCTTCCAATTTAGCCATTAAAAAATTATTTGATCTATAAAGTACTCTTACAAATTTAGTTATCCCAAAGAAAGTTTGGAAAATTTTGGTTGTTTAGGTTTGTGTAAAAATATTGGTTTGACAAAATTCTTTTACATTTCTAACAATATGGGTGAGAATCTAAAGGTTCATTTATTCTTAACAAAAAGGTTGATGGCTATCTTAGTAAAAGGTGAAAGTCCCACGTGCCATGGATCGAGCTTAGTGAGAGTAAGCTGGTAGGTCAAGATCTAGTTTGTGAGATTGACTAAAAAGTCAAGCTTATCGAGAAAAGACTCAAGAAGACTTCAAATCACTAGAAATCCTATGCCACTCTCAAACATTGTGAGATCAATTGCGACAAGGTTCTTCATTTTCTGTAAAATACATTTTCTGTAAAATAGAGAAACTTAATTGCAATTCATTGGTGAGTGTATTTTTATTAGAAGTAAAGAGTGTGCCCTAAAAGAAAATGAGAAGATTTTGGAACACAGTTATTTTATACTCCATCCGTCCAAAAAAACCCAAGTTATGCATAACGAAGTAAGATTTCAAGTCTTTTAAATTCTTTTTATTCAAATATTTGTAAAAAATAAAAAGTAAAACAATCATATTTAAAAACTACTAGTATTCTAACCCGTGCCACGCAGGGATCGAACGAAATTTGCATCAATAATTCTAAAAGTTTTGTATAATATAATATTTTTTTCTCTAGATTTAAGAAAAATATATTTTTAATAATGTATTACATTCTATAGACATTAACATAAAAATAGAATAAATAATATGTAGCATTTAACATTTTTTGATATTACATTCTTAAACATGAAATTGAAAGACATTACGACATAGTCTGATAATTGCAAGTTTCTTTTTTAGTGATATTGACTATATTGCTAATATCTAATTATTACTAAATTTTATCTAATTAAAAGAAAATTATTGACCTATATGGCGAGACCCCTCAAGTAAATCACATACTTAGTCAATAAAAAATGGTTTATCACACACTATATATATATATATATATATATATATATATATATATATATATATATATATATATATAAAGAAGAAATTTTTATTACAAAATGCGAATAAAGGTATAAAGAGTATCACTCTTGATCACTCCCCTAACAGATGGGGGTAGATACACTAGAGAATTGAATGATCTAAAAGAGTTATTGGTCAGTGCATAACGTGCAATTCTGTGAGCCGCCGTGTTCTCCTCTCCGTAAATATGTCTAATGTGTCCTCTGTTTGTTGCCAACAAATTTAGGATCTCTTTGCAAGTTCCATCCTCGTGATTGTTTTCAATGATTCGTTTCACCGTATTTTTTTGCATCGATATGGATATTGATGGGTTGGGTAGTTAGACTAGTGGCCCAATTGAAGCCTAAGAGAGCTGAAACAAGTTCTCCTTCCTCACTATTGTCTGCTCTGTGTATGTACAAGGTTGTTGCTCCTAAGAAGATTCCTGATCTTGTGCGAAGTATAGGTCCTCCTGCCATTTGATTTTCGTTCGTCGCTACGCTAGTGGTGAGGATCACCCCTTTCGTCATCCTTGTCCATAAAAACAACTTAATTTCCGGTAAGGATATGAAGGGGATATCAGAGCTTGTCATGCTGATTCTTCTTTTTCCTTTCACGATTCCCCACTCAAGAGTTTGGTTGGAACTTAAGAGTTGTATTACAAAAGCCTTTGTGTTATGAGTTATAACAATAATCATATATATTTATAAAGTTGAGCGGATTAATTGTCATTGCGACATGTGTCTTGCCACGTCATCATTTTTATTGCCAAATATGCTGCCACATCATGCCACTTAATTTAATTTTGATCAACTTTATTTCACTTATTTATTATATAAATGAGGCAATTAATTAAGAGAGTGAAGAAAATGAAAAGCCACATACTTATATACTACTTAAAATTTTTATTGATAGAGTTTTAAATAAATATACACGCAATATTTAATTTTTTTAAAATTTCTTAAACAACTTTTCTGTACCTTTCTCTTTTTAAGATTAAATAAAATATATTTAATTAAACTTTTATAATTCCCTTTACTTTCAAACTATTTAAAAAATATCCATTTCATAAGACAACATATTTTTTAAAAAAATAAAATATGACAACATTATTTAGAAATATGCATAAGCAAGCAGTTATTTAAAAAAATAATAATTATTTTTCATTATATTTTAATCATCGTAACACATTTTTTAATATATAGCATTAAATCATTATTTTAAAATGTTATAAATTAAATATTTTATAATTTTAAAAATAAAATTACTTATAAATTTTTGAACCTATACACCATCTATTTTATTACATTTATATACATGTGCCCCTTCATATTTTTGAATATGTATTTCCATTTTAATTTAATCATAGATTTTTAAACAAACTACAATATTTATGTTATTTTATTTATTTATAAAATAAAATTTTAAGATTTGTTTTTGTATATTTCTATAGAAAATATTTCTAATAATATTTAGAAAATATTATAGATATTTTCTTTACACAAAATGATATTAATGGAACACAAAGTAATCACTTTCTCTCTCTTAAAATTAATAGCCTAATTTGTTTCACCCCCTTGATCAAAGTGGCGTGTCCATATTTTAAGGAGACAAGGGGATGTAAAATTTGAATTTGTCATTAACAAAATGACAAAAATAATTATCTCCACTCAAAATCAATCAAACAAAATTTGATTCTTTAAGATGTCATTTGGCCGGAAAAATCATGTGAGAAGGATTTGTAAAATACTTCTCCACTTAGGTGTTCAAAGAATATTTTATTTGACACCAAAAATTTATATAAAATTAATTTTAATTCAAATAAAAATATCAATATCATTTTTAAACAAGTATAAAATATACTTCAAATAGTTTATGTCAAAATAATTATTTTAATAATTAAAATGACAAACCAAAATAAAATATTCAATATATAATATATATATATATATATATTAATCGACACATATAATATATATATATATATATATATATATATATATATATATATATATATATATATATATATATATATATATATATATAACTGAATATTTATATATATAATATTATATTCCAAAATATTTTATTTTACTATTTTTACAAATATACAAATTACTTATTATCCCATTGTTTAATCCTACTCCTTAAATTGTCTTAAGTGTGTGACTCGTATAGGCATTTATAAAGCTGGTCATACTATTACCTCTGCACTAATACTATAAGCAATAAGCGGTATCTAGCAACACATTATTGCTCCCAGATTATAAGTTAAGACGTTTGCACCGTCAAAACCTTTCCACGACTCACACTCCCTGTAATTGTATCCCTTTGTCTCAATGTCTAGACTTAATGCAAGGGATTAATAAAATCTAGCTTGTATCTATTAAGTCACTCACTGATTTATCAAGTCTGACTGATAGGAACGGACGTCATAAAAACATCTCAGCATGGCCATGCAATTTCCTTAGTCATAACCTTATCAGTGGGACCCATAGGACATTAATTTCTTTAAAAAGAGTAGTGACAAATCCTATGTTCGTAATCTACATTTCTGAATACGTGATGCGGCATACCCAAGACAAACCTGTATACCATCCTTATTTCATATGGCTTAGGACAATGCATCAAAGCATGCGGGTTCACATATGCAGAAAATGTAATACTTCAAGTCAAAGAATAGTTACACTTGTGGTCGCGCTAAAGATGCTTAGAGCAAAACTAAAAGTTCATGCAACATCTTTAGGATGGGTCTGTCCAACATCCTATTATCTCCAGATAATATCTGCCCATGTACGGATGCGAACACAGTGTCATTGACTATGAGACTAAGTCAAACATCCAACACACACTAGTCTCACATGCATTAACGATATCCTACTCTCGTTAATACTTGACTATGGACATTAAGATAAATATTTATTTCAAGATATTAGTCTCATCAGCAGAATAACACCATATGATAAACATCTTTAAATATAAATCTAGGAATATAACATTTGTTTACATTAGCATGAGATGTGTAAACATATTATATCTGCCTATACATGATAGAATAATGAAAAACACTTGGCCATCAGGGCACAACTCCAACAGAGGTCCCACCTCGTTTTTGCAGCTATGCCAAAACAGAATCTAAAATATTACAATCTAGTTTCTTTCTTTAAATCTTGTCCAAAGCCCTGAGCTTTTACCTCTCTTGTTGCTGCTCTTGTGTAACTCCGGCTAAAAAAGATGTCCTGGAAAATAAAATCACGTCAAAAAGCTCTCAAATATGTTCTTAAAAAATAGCACCAACAACCTGAAATAGATATCGCTCTAGGTATAAAAGATGAATAAAGTTCTAGAAAGAAAACAATACATGAATCAATGAAGAATGATGTATCAATTTCTGAGAACGAGAGTTTACCTAAACAAATCATCCATAGCAAAAAATATCTCTTCGATATAAATAATTGTTTCTCAGCCCATAAGATTCTAAGGTGTACAGTTCTTTACGTGATAAGTGAGAAAATCAAAGATAAAATGAATCAGGGCAAACAATAATTCTATCAAAAAATCTAACCTGCTCAACACAATTTGTAATGTGTAATTTCATATATTTAGTTAATAAAACTTAAAAAGTAGGAGATGATTGACATTAGTCGAGCTAGTGAAACCAACTGAGCTAGTGAGACCAACAGAGGACTTTCTGAATAAAAGAAATGAAACTACAATCATACTCCATCCAATAACATCTTCCCAAGGTTTTTCATTTAATGAATCTAACATGTAATAAAGAAAATAACCTCCTATAATGCAAAAAGACAGAAATTGTATTAAGAATTGAAATGTTTAAGTGATTGATGCGAACAGTTTCATAAAAGAATGTGTAGCTACTTCAACCAGAAAAGCCACGCATAAAAATTTGGTAATATAACTCATAACACGAAGGCTTTTGTAATACAACTCTTAAGTTCCAACCAAATTTATTCGTGTTGTGGCACATGCAGTACTTCCCTACATGATTTCGTAAGAAAACCATCAATAAAAGTTAACCACATCATCTTTAGATTTAAGGCTTTTGTAATAAAATTATGTTAAGTCATAATATATACTAATAATGCTCGGTAAAGGCATTTTTTAATAACTTACATTTGTAAAATTTTTCAAAAAAATGTAAGTAGCATGTAAATTTCTGAGAAAGAATACATTTAAGTCATATGATCTTAAAAAGGATGTAGATAGTGCTATAAAAGAACCAATTAGATGAGTTCAAAAAACATCATCCAAACTCCAATTCCATAATGGGCATAGTATAAATATAAAAAAATCAAACAAATTATATGGTGGATTATGAGTCTTCGACTTACATGTTTGTCCATGAACATCATCTCAATGGAATTCTTGGTCTTCTCACCAGTATATACGGGTAGGGTATATAGTCTTATTACACAAACCATGATCCTCCAACACTCTTCCGTCGGAGTGATTTTTCACAAAGGATGAATAGTCTTAAACATGACATCCGTAAAAAGAGGTCTAGATCTGCAAGGAAAAAAACTTGCGTAAGAAGGGGTGTACGTGGTGGGTTGTTCGTGAAGAAAATTTATATATAGGTATAATATAACTGTGGAAATCAAGCGATTGGTGAAATAAGGTATGTAACTAGGCGTATTATGATTCTAATTAAGGCATCAAATTTACAAATTGAAAGGAAGTGTTTCTGAATTGAAAGGAAAACCATTTGTCATCTAACAACTGACAGGCACTTGGTCATCAAAAGGCATTGAAGGCACACTTCCTACTCTGAATGTTTTATCTATTTTCAAAGCTTCAAAAAGACAAGCCCAAAAAGAGAAACACATTTAATATTAGCTCTTCACTTCTTGACTATTGAGAAAGATTATTACACTGCCTTATGGGAAAAATCAGAAACATGACTCTTTACTCCCAACAACATGTGAAACACACAACTGACCCAGAAAACCTCGAGATGGACAATTCGTTTCAGGGATACAGAATACTGAGTCAAACCTAGTGGCCATGACAGTAATGTAAAACAAACATCCACTATACACAAATATATTCTGGACTTAATATATATGATGTTGCTCTATTCTTCTAAAATAGAATACAGAGTATATTCCAATCATAATCAGATTGGATCATTAAAATTCATTCTCATTCTCAGATTAACTCTAGTGTGCAAGTGTGCCAGGAGTGCATGTCAAGCATGCTTAAAGGCTTATTTCTTTTATTCTTGGAATCAAAAGCTGATTCAGAATTGACGAATTTATTAGAAAAAATTGGGGATCTCGAGAATATGATTGGGATCGCAATCATGGAAATTGTGAGTCAGAATTTGAATACACAAGGTTATCAATTGAATAAGAATTGCATATGAGTTTTGGAAACAAACCTAGTTCTTGAGCCCTTGAAAATTTCGGATCGCAATCAGGGTTTTTCGCAATAGAGCCGATGTAGAATTCATTTCACAATGAAATAATGCGAAAAATCCATGTATTTTTGGAGAAGAATTAGGATGAAGATGCACAATGAAGATGTCAGTCTGGAGAAGCAAAGAAGACAACACTTTCTTTCTTTGGGAAAGGATTCGCGTTTTAGTCGTAGAAGCGATAGGCATAAGACACATGTAAACTGATGTGTCATTAAAATAAAATTCTTAAATTTTCACATGTCAATTTTCTACACCTCAAACTCTGAAAATTATATATAAAGAATGTCAAAAGTTCTACAAAACAAGAAGTGACAAAAATTTTAATTTTATCAAATAATAAATAAAAAGTACAAATTAACAAATATTTTAAATATTTTTGAATAGTGAAGTGTGACATTCTTTTTGGGACAAAGAGAATAACTATATCATCATCATTTCTTTTATATTTTAACCTCCATCATTAGTGTATATATTTTGTAATTCACATTGATTTGTAAAACCCATTCCAACTCGATTCAATGGTGATGCCTTGAGAATGATTTTCCATCAATTCTCCTGTAGTGTATATGACCTACATGCGGTTCTTGCACATGAAAAGTATTATCTTTTTACACACCATTCTGATACATATAAAATTACACATATTACACGAATAACCTCCCTTAGAAATTTTTGGATTTCGTGGTGTTAGTCTTTTTCTGGTTATTCTCTTCTTATAGGCATCGAAAAGGATCGCGTGATTACTTCTGGAAGGAACATGGGTGGAACTTCAATAGAAGAAGAGGAAGCACAGGGTCCAAGCAGAGGTGTACCAGCACGACTCGATGTTTCATTAGCATTGACACTGACATGCTGTAACTCAATAATAGCTGCTGATGTTTTACGGCTGTCGAGCAACCGGTGATCTTCTTCAATGGACAACACCATGCTGGCATCAGTGTGCACAGTTGTTGAATCGTCGACCGTGTGATGCTTTCTTTTCCTCCTCGCGGCCTTCCCCCAGCCATGAATAGTTTCTCTTATTCTCTGAGGAATAAGGGCAGCCTTATAGTTTGTTCCCATCTGGTGGTAGAGCGAGCAATGCACCATGAAGATTAGTTGTGTTTTCTATTTTAACAAATTAGGGGTAATATTTCCGTGTGTTGTTAAGTTACCTGAGTAACCAGTGCATAGAGCGGTAAGGTGCTATAGCTGCATAGGAACTGTCCGGCGAACCTGAGTGATAGACAATGGAATTAGCCCCAAAAAACCATCACAAGGGAAACATGGTTTGGAACATCTTACCCTAATATTAGCCGTAGATACACCAGTGTGTGGTTAAATATAAAGCACGAATTATAGCCAAACTGCCACTGCAACAATAATGCCAACACGGAAAATACGTTCATTAAGACAAACATATTACAATGTGAATGAAACTAGCTCGAATGTATCCTGCAGCAAGCAACAGGATTTACCCAGAACCAGAAGAAGGAAGCAAGCTCAAATGCATTCTGCAATGAAAGAAGCACCACAGCACAATCATTGAAATGGAGAAGTTACATCAAATTTTAAAAGGGAAAAAATGAAAATCATAAACCAGTCAAAAAGTAAATTATCAACCTGGAAGAGGACGAAATGAATCAAGGATAGCAGTAATTCTGGCTTCTTGAACCAAAACAGTTCATCTCTTGGCTTTAGCTTAGTTCCCTGGAAAGAGCTCGCCGCACTCTCCAATGCCAAAGTTGCTATGACATGTTGCAGTTTAGTGCCAACCAGTAGAACAAGCTGACAGTACATGGAGAGTCAGGAGGTAGATATGCAGAAATGAAAGACCTAAACACTTCTTGTTTTCTGACACATTAGAATTATTATTTTCCTTTTGCATGAAACAAAGAGAAGTGCAATTTCTCATTCGCGCACGTAGTTTCTAAGAATATGTACCCCGCCCATCCATCTATCTACTAAAAGTCCAAAATAAATTATTTTCCAGTTCGTCACATGCAATGGCTTTTGCCCCTACCACAAAAAAAAGGCCTCATTTGGGAACATCGATTTCAATTAGCTTTAGCAATTTGGATAATTTTTTAATGGTGTGGATTAACTTAAAATTGTTAAAGCTAAATTCCGCTGTTATATAATGTCATCGAATGGGCACTATATTTCAAACAAATGAATTTTAATGTGAGATAATATACCCTTTTGGAACCTATATTAAAGTTGGGATAGATATAAACTAAGTCTATCTTCCTCTAGCCCCCCGCCCCCACCCTTCCATCCCGCTTCATGCATACCTATGTCTTGTGCAATTATTTGTAGGTGTGACAACATAATTTCTTCAGAGGAAAGCAGATTTGGTTGTCATGGTTTTTTTCCATAAGCCCTATGCATTTCAAAAACACTTCACATCATATTCATATAAAGAAAAAAAGTTCTCAACCCAGGGTGTCGAAATTCATTTTCAATTCAAGCAAAAGTATCGCTAATTGATAGTCATTTGGATCTGAACTCACAGTAATTGGAATTATTGCAATCCAGAAATAGAGATTAGATCCTGCAAAATAAACAAAATGAGGATAAGCATATTGCCCAAGCCTAATATCTACCACAACAGGTGGGCAAGCAGTCCCTATTAGTTTAAAAACAGCTTGAATAATCACTTTTCTCAACTTGAATACTTATGCTAAGTAATATTTTATACCTTTGATATTAAACAGCATAAAGGCGACCACAAATCCCCATAGTGGTGCACTACAAAAGTACAAAATTTAGATGTCAAAATCAATCATATGCAAATTTCCATTGTATCAACTGCAGCTGCGATAAACCAGAAATTTTAATCCTGTTGTTTCGCTAAATCTTATTAGATGAAGGATCGAGTTGAGAAGGTAGGAAGGTAAACCATGTATATGATATGCAACCATGTCATAGATACAGTATAAATATCTGCTTCCCAGATGTTCTGTTTACCTGACACCAACTATTCTTTGAAACTCTTCTTCCATGGATCGAATCATATAACTATGAAAATCATACTTCGATGTAAGGTTATGATTCTGCCAGGAAAAAAATGCCAAAAAGCTTGAAAACGAGCAGTGTTACTTTGAACATCAAATGAACTAAGAGGAAACACAAGATCATTTTTTATAAACTATGGCGCAAAAAAATAAATATAATTAAACATGAAAATTAAGGAGAAAGGACCAATTATGTTGTACTCCTAGAAAGTTCTTAAGTGGATGCCCTAAAAGACTCACTGCAAATATGGACAATGAGTGTGGGGCAGAGAGAGATGTACACAATTTTACCTCTATCTTGAGGGGCTTTGTATCTATGCTTGAGCATATGACCTATTAATTAGCATGTGCATACTAAGTAGAAAAACCCAAGTAATCTGGCAGATAGACTTCACTCATCAAATCATCACAACATAGAGTCAATTCCAGCTAGACAGAATATAATATAGCTGATGGAAATTAGTAAGACAAAGTCCAGACTGTAATAAGAAATTTACATTAATCCAAAGATTTTTGAAATAGTATTTGTATCATTCCCTCCTCAAGAAGAATTTCAAATTAAACCAAACCATTTGTGTAGAATTTTAACTAAGGGTGATGGTTATTGAACTCAAGGGGCACATATTTACCCATCTCTATCAGCACGCTCGAGACTAAGTATGCAGTTCATCAGTAATATATAACACATTGATGTTTTAGCCATACCATGATAAAACCCTTGCGTAGTGTAAGGTAATCAGCACGAACTACTGAATGCCCAAATTGCCTGAAGAAACATGTCTGCAAAATGTATAAACATTTTCAAAAAAAATGTCCTTGATTTCAACAACAACCAATACAGTAAAATCCCAACAAGTGATTTAGGCAGAGAAATCCTTGTTTTAGGCAGATTTAGAACAAGAAAATTAACTGAAAAGAAACACGTAATTATACAAAAACAACCCAGTTCAATCCCACTAAAGTAGGGTATGGGGAGGGTGTGCGTACGCAGACCTTACACCTACTAGAAAGTAGAGAGGCTGTTTTCAAGAAACTCCCAGCTTGAGTAACACAGAAGCACATAGCAAGAAACAAGTAACTATAATGGAACAAAAACTGGGAGATGTGCTGGAGTTAATATCCAAGCAATAAGACATGTTTATCGTAATTTGTAACTCTCATGTGCTCAGACATAAAACTCTAGGGGTAATTTCACACTCTCTACTCAAAATACACTAGATGTAAGACACATGCTAGTTGAAATCAATTGCAAGTTCTTTCAAATTCCAGTTTTTTTTTTCAAATTTAAATAAAAAAAGTCATACAGAACACCCATAAACTCTGCATGTGAAAGCAACTGGTCCCAAGCCTGGGTTAAGAGGGGGGTTGCAGTAGGCCTGTGATAGCAAGCATGAAAGCCTTGTCACATCTTATGACATGAACCAAGATAAGAACTTTATTAAGGTGTTCCCCACATTTTTCTTATCTGAGTTTGGACAAGGGTATGGTAATGGATAGAGAGAAGTAACCAGAGATGTTCCCCACATTTGTCTTATATGAGTTTTGACAAGGGTATGGTAATGGATAGAAAGAAGTGGCCAGAGAACATTTCTGTACGTGATTCTACTTTTTGTTCATGAAGTTGACCCCAAGTTACTTAGAATATAAGGCTTAGTTGTTTTTCAGAACATCCAAACAAAAATGTGGAGGAAACTGTCATTAATGCTAGAATAAACCAATAAAATTGTGCATCAAGCATAGCCAAAATTAACATAAGGGAAAGTCTTCCATTAGGAGTGACAATAATAACTAGTTTAACATGCTGTGAAGAACATTTGAGCATAGGAAACATATGCTTTACTATTGGGACATTACTCATGCCACCCATACAAGAACACTATTCCTGGAGTCTGGACCAAGGATTGGATGTATGGACTCTAACAAAAGTTATTTGCCTTCGCATGGTCATTGCTCTGAGTTTGGACGAGGGTATAGTAGTGGAAAGAAAGAGATGGCCAGAGAACATTTCTGTGAATGACCAAACGTGATTCTACTTTTTGTTCATGTAGTCGGCCCCAAGTTACTTAGGATATAAGGCTTAGTTGTTGTTGTTGTTGTTCAGAACACCTAACAAAAAAGTGCAGGAAAGTCTCATTAATGCTTGAAATACACCATTACATTGTGCATCCATCATAGCCAAAACTAACATAAGGGGAAGTCTTTCATTAGGAGGGACAATGATAACTAGTTTTACATAATGTAAAGAACATTTGAGCATGGGAAACATATGCTTTAGCATTGAGACATATTAGATATTACACATACCACCCATACAAGAACACTATTTCTGGACCAAGGATTGGATGTATGGACTCTAACAAAAGTTGATTGCCTTCGCATTGTCATTGCTCTTGTCCTATCTGTAGAATGCCAGAACAATTACAAAAAATAAAAATCCACAAAAGATGGAGAAATTGCATCTTCGGATTCCAAGTTAAAGAAAAATAGTATATGTGCTCTCTCAAATATTCGTGTCACCGTGTTTGATCCATCACTTGTTACTTGATGCTGCATTTATTTTCCATAACATCCTAACGGTGAGTGATTAGATATGCATGTTTTATCATATAATAGCATCATATTCTTTGTAAGTTAAATTTTTTATCAGAAGGGGGCTTCTTTACCAATTTTTTAAAAACAATGTTCTAGTGTTATTTTCATATTTTGTAATGCAATATTTGTAACGAAATAGGCACTTGTTTAAAAAAATAAAAAACAAAAAAATGTAATCAACACACATATAAATTTGAATAAATAAAAGTAATTAAATGCAAATTCAAAAAAATCAACACAAGAGAACTTTAAATCTTGCATTAAAGGCTTTAAAATTTAGAAACTTTTTTTTCTTTGAAACCTTGCAATGAAAGACATGCCCTAAAAATGTTAAATTTTAAAGCCACTAAAATTTGCTTATTAGCATAAATTGACTACATTTACCATGGTTAAATTTCATTACACGGCTTTGAAAAACAAAAAATAGTTGAAGTTTAAAAAAAAAGTAGCACCTAGTTCATTGCAGTCCAGAAAAAAATAGTTGAATAGTCATTTCCAAATTTCCCTATATAAGTCACTTATAATCAAAGCATCAAAGTTACAAAAAACATATCTGGTGTTATGTGCATTATCACTGCAATTTTAGTCTTTCATTAGCTAGGATGTTGCAGATTTTATTAAATACCTATTTTTACCTTTCTTCTTATTTTATTGAATTTATTTTATTCTATTTTTACCATATGAAGTATTTTACTCTTTGAAAGTTGGATGTTACCTATAAACAGGCCTGGGCCCTATTGAGAAGATAATAAGAAGTTAATTTCCATTCCTAAAATTCTCTCTTCTTCCTCTCACCAAATTCTCGTTCTCTCACCTATCTGTTATTGTACCTCAGAGACCTATTCTTCTATTGCAGGACTCCCACGCCCAAAACAAGTGGTATCAAAGCAGGTCTTCCTGAGGACGAATATGGAGCTTGACTAGACGGAAAGTAGCCCAGATGGAAATGATCGAAGAAGCGTTGAAGGCCTTGATCGACTAACAGAGGGGATTCACTATTCAGATGGAGCAACAAAATCTGTTTGTCTTCAACACCTGAAAGCAACCAGAATCACGAAAGGGGATTTGAAATCGGAAATCGCAGGCAGTTACACTTCAATCCGAAGGTAGAGTTTTCTCAATTTGATGGATCTAATGTGAGAATTTGGATTAAGAAGTGTGTGAAGTATTTTATGCTATGCCAAATCCCTGATGCAAAAAAAGTTTATCTAGCCTCGTTATACATGATTGGAAAGGCTGAAATATGGTATAATAGCTATACTATGGGGCAAAACAAAACCATTTGGGAGGATTTTGTGACGGATGTGAGTGTTAGATTCAAGGATAGAAGTGGATCTAAAATTGTGGAAGAGTTTAATAAGTTGCAACAAACAGGGAGTCTAGAGGATTATGCTGACAAATTTGAAGAGTTGAGGGCATCTATGTTGATGAAGAATTCTCAACTCCCAGCTGATCACTTCTTAGATAGTTTCATCGGGGGTCTCAAGCCTCACCTTAAAGCTTATGTGAGAGCTTTCAAGCCTGAAACCATCACTGAAGCTATTGAGTATGTTAGGTGCCAAGAGGAAACGGTACAAGCTATTAAAGTACAAGATTGAGCAGGTAAGCCTGTATTTAATAACAGAAAAGGCCTATTACCTACTCCTAATGCTACTAAGCCATCCAATCCACTGCCTGTGGTGAATCAACCCAAGTTTACACCGGAAACAGTTAGGGCAGAAATAATGGCTAAGGGATTGTGTTATTACTGTGAAAAACCTTTCGAAAAGGGACATAAGTTCTTAAACAAAGGTTCTCAATTGTTTTTGGTTGAAGCCAGTGGGGAAGAGGAGACAGAGAGGAGTCAATGTGTTGTGACACAGACTGTCAAATGGCGCTACCCAACCACTTAATATCTGTTAGTGCCCTCAGTGGTAATCAGGGATTTCAAATGATGAGAGTTACAGGATATTATGGCCAGAAACCCCTTGCATATTCTCATTGATTCTAGAAGCACACACAACTTCTTGGACATTTCTTTGGCTAAGAAAATAGGTTGCAAGCTGGAACCTATTGCAACCAAAGCAGTAATACTAGCGGTTGGTTATCAACTCTAATGTAAGTTTATGTGCAGCAAGTTTGAATGAAGCTTCACAGAGTTATATTTCAATCTGATATGTTGCTATTCCTTTGGGAGGTTGTGATATGGTGCTGGGGGTGCAGTGGTTAAGAGTACTAGGACCTGTAAAGTGGGACTTCAGCAAGCTGGAGATGAAGTTTTCATATACAGGAAGCAAGCAGGTTTTAAGAGGTATAAAACAGCATGTTTCATTAGTGGGGTCTAGCCAACTCACAAAAGTTATAAACAGCTCCAGCCAGCTGTGTTTACTGCATGTCACCACTAATATGTGGGAGGGCAAGTCTACTTCTATGGCTGGTGATCTTCCTGAAGTATCCAAAGATATGCAAGCACTGTTGGAAGTGTATGAGGATGTGCTCCAAGAACCAAGAGGGCTTCCTCCTTCATGGGGAGTCTTTGATCACCCAATACCCCTACACTCCACTGCCACTCTTGTTAATATAAGGCCTTATAAATACCCCACCAAACAGAAAGACATCATTGAGCAGCTGGTCAAAGATATGGAAAACAGTGGAATAATACAACATAGCTGCAGCCCATATGCCTCACCAGGGGTCTTGGTAGGGAAGAAAGATGGCAGTTGGAGACTCTGTGTAGATTACAGGGAACTTAATAAGAAAACTATCAAAAATAAATTTCCCATTCCAGTGGTAGAGGAATTGATTGATGAAGAATTGGCAGGTGCTTATGTCTTCAGCAAGATTGATTTGAGAGCTTCCACCAGATCAGGGTGAACCCTCCAGATATCTACAAAACAGCGTTTAAAACTCATCATAGACATTATGAGTTTCTAGTGATGCCATTTGGCCTCACTAATACTCCAGCAACTTTCCGAGGATTGATGGATCAAGTCTTCAAGATGTATCTCCGTAAATCTGTATTGGTGTTTTTTGATGATATATTAGTGATTTAGTGTACAGCCCTAACTGGGAAGCTCATTATACACATCTGAGGGAGGTTTTCAATATCATGAGGCAGAACTACTTATTGGCCAAAAGGAGTAATTGTACATTTGGGATGTTAAAGGTGGAGTACTTGGGGCATTATATCTCAGGACAAGGGGTGTCTACTGAACCCAACAAGATTAAAGCTGTGAAGGACTTGCCAATCCCGACTAATCCCAAAAAACTGAGTTTTTTAGGTTTGGCAGGCTATTACATAAAATTTGTAAAGCATTTTGCCTTCTTCAGTAGACCACTCACAGATTTATTGAAAAAGGGACCTTAGGTGGGGACGGAAGCAGCCACCCAAGCTTTTCATCAACTAAAAGAAGCATTATGTTCCACGCCGGTGTTGGCCTTACCTGATTTCTCTAAGTCTTTTGTGGTGGAGACCGATGCTTGTAAAGGAGGTATTGGAGCAGTATTAATGCAAGAGCAACACCCTTTAGCATATATCAGCAAAACTCTTGGACCCAGGTGGCAAGCACTATCTATCTATGAAAAAGAACTCCTAGCCATGGTGTTTGCTGTTCAAAAGTGGGAGCAGTACTTGATACACCCGCCATTTATAATTAAAACTGATCAATAGAGTTTGAAGTGGCTGTTAGAAAATAAGGTTTCTTCTCCTTTCCAACAATTTTGGTTATCAAAACGTATGTGGTATTCTTATGAGATCCAGTATAAACAAGGGAAAGAAAATGGGGCAGCAGATGCTCTTTCTAGGAGAACTGGAGCTGAGATTCTATGTTTGGCCCTCTCTACTACTGACTCTTTGCTGCTAGAAGACATTAGAAGCAGTAAGTCTTCAAACCCTAAAGTCCAAGAAATACTGAACCAGTTACAACAGGGGCTGCTAGTAAATCAATACACCTGGAATCAAGATCAACTAAGAATGAAAGGAAGATTGGTGGTGGGAGATGATGAGACCCTTAAAGCTAAGTTGCTAAGTTGCTAAGTTGGGGTCTCTCATCACCAGTAGCAGGACACTCTGGGCGGGAAGCCACCCTGAGAAGGCTGAAGAGCATGTTGTATTGGAAAGGGATGAACAGGGATGTGTCCCATTTTGTGAGAAGATGTGTGATATGGCAGTCTTGCAAATATGACAATGCGGCCTATCCTGGGTTGCTTCAACCCTTTCAAATTCCTAGTGAAATCTAGAGGGATGTATCTATGGATTTCATAGGAGGACTGCCTCTATCAATGGGAAAGGATGTTATATTTGTGGTAGTAGACAGAATGAGTAAATATGGTCACTTCATGGTCTTAACCCATCCCCTACACAGCATCGAAGTAGCTCAATGCTATCTGGACCATGTATTCAAGTTACATGGGATGCCTAACAGTATAGTCAGTGATAGGTATGCTGTCTTCTTGAGCAAATTTCGGCAAGCTCTATTTGCAGTCCATGGAGTTGATTTGCTATTGTCAACCTCCTACCACCCTCAAACGGATGGGCAAATTGAGGTTGTCAGTAGGTTTTTGGAAACCTACCTTAGATCCATGTGCTCCCAAAATCCAAAAGAATGGTGTAAGTGGATTCCTTTGGCTGAGTGGTGGCATAACACTACTTTTCACTCATCTATCCATATGACACCCTATGAAGCTGTGTATTGCCAACCCTCACCTGTCCACTTGCCCTATCTACCGGGAGAAACTAATGTGGAGGCGGTAGATAGGTCCTTACAAAAGAGAGAAGAAATGATTAAACAAGTGAAGTTTCAATTGCAAAGGGTCCAAAATAGGATGCAACAGCTGGCTAACCAACACAGAACTGACAGGCAATTTACCTTGGGAAATTGCGTTTGGCTCAAACTCCAACCTTAAAGGCAGTCTAGTGTACAACAGAGATCCAATGAGAAGTTGGGTCCAAAATGCTTTGGACCTTTCCAGATCATTTCCATGATTGGGAAGGTAGGATACAAGCTTCAACTCCCTCCGCACGTGAAAGTACATTCAGTGTTCCATGTATTCCAGCTGAAAACTTTTAGGGGAGAATTTACCGGCAGCACCACACATTCTGTTATACCCCGGGATGCTCCTACAAGCCTTGTGGCCACGCCACACACATTAAAACAAGTCAAGGGATTAATATCTAGGTGTTATGATCCTTTTTGGGTTGAATTCATTTACCCTTCCCATCCAAAAGCCCAAACCATAACCCTTCTCTCCCAAAACCCATCCTAGGGCCAAAACCCCTACATGCCCAAAACCTCCCCAAACATCCAAAAGTATTTTATCTCCTCTTGATATTCAAAATAAAGTCCTTTTTCCTCCTTTGATAGCATTGGACGAAAATGAGGACTAAAAGACATAGCAAAAACATTGTGTGTTGTCTTCTTCCTCTTTTAAATCCTTTCATTAGATAATACCTTTCCCCTCTCCTTCCTACACCATATCCACGAATTCCCTTCTATATTTGTCCCAAAAATCAGGCCATATCATCCTTAAACCCCAAAGGAATGTGTTATACCTGTTATTAGTAATAATATTAGTATTTTAGTTAAGTCCTGAGAATATGGCAGGATCTGATTTGGCCATTAATATGTTTGGAAACTAGGAATGTGTTATACCTGTTCACTTTTCAAATTCAATAAGGTAATGTTTGGAAACTAGGAATTCATTTGAATTCTTGGATTTCAATTTTAAAATTAGAATTCTTGAATTTCAAATAACAAGGGGGAGTAAATGGATTTGTAATTGAGCTTTGTTGGAAATAAGAGGAATTTGGTCCAAATCAAAATAGTAACTTTTTGGATTCCCAAACATGTAATTTGGGTCAAATCTGAATTTGAAATCCAAATTTAAGATCTCAAATATCCTAGAGATAATAAATTGATAAAGAAATGATAATAAATTTGATAAAGAAATGATAATAAATTGTCTAAAATATCCTAGCGATAGGGTATGAGCTTTGTTGAAATTAATGAGGGGCACATTCATTTGAATGACTTATTTGTTATTTTCAACTAATTTCTTAAATGAGATTTTTTTCAAAAGCCGACAACTAAAGCCGGATGGGAGGTATACCTTTACTAGTAAGTAGTAACAACAACTGATATTATTCAGGATTAATTGAACTGTTCACTAACTCAAAATGTTTTCTATTTTTTGAGAAGTGGATAAAAGAACAGAAATCATAAAGCATGATTTCTGTTTTCCAAGTATCACCACAAGTACACTCAACTCTACATGTGTTATGCTCGAAATATCTCTTGGTCTATATGTTTTCTGAATTGAGAAAAAAAACTAGAAAAAACAATTGGGAAAATGTATGCAAACAGACCCTTAACTTTAAGAACAAGAATATGGAGACTTGTAGGTTCAACCAGGCAGTGACAACTTACCAGTTAATGCCCCGTTTTGGTCCTTGTGAGCTTCATCCTCCCAAACCCTCCAAGTATGAATCTGTAATGAACAGAAAGCAACACACATAGCAAGGAGGATATCAATCAGATTGTGATCATTCCATCTGATGAAATAAATAGATGTATTAGCGCCTTGTTTTAAAACCAAACGGCCAAAATACGTAAAATCCGACACATTAGTATGGCGTGACTTAAAACTGAGAAGGGGACTTTACATAAGTTTGTTGACCCAAACAAAAACACAACCTTGATAATAGCCAGTAACATTGTTAGACAGCTATAAAAGATATGAGTAATGGCCATGACAAAGATGAAACGGTGCAGCTGCTCTAGGCCTTCATATGATAGAAATGGTTCATGAGTCTGCAGAAAATGATATATATAACTTTAAACTCCATTTGTTTGAAAGAATGATATACTTTGAATGAGAGAGAAACATAAAGCAATGGTGTCAAGATGCAGGAAACGAATGAATCCTTTTATTCTCGTTTCAGACACCAGTTTCTCACTCATGTTATCACTGCATAACACAAATTTAAACTATATTTTACCAAATGTAGTCTTACATGCCTCGGGGCAGGTATTTTGATTCAAACTACTAAGCATTCTTCTTTTAGGATGATGGAGAATAAGGTCCATCAAAATTTTTCGCTCCTTGAAATCATTGTTTTGCTTTTCTTCTTCAATGTCGGACTTCTTGCAAGGTGCAAATTCACTTTCATAATATTTTGATGGGATGCAAATATTGGATATGATGCTAGAGGTGGCCGTAAGTAAGAGAGAAATGAAGCCAAGTAGCATTAACTCTGTTCGCAAAAATTCAAACAAGATTTTGAATTAGATTTGTCAAAAACAAAATAACAGGGTGGGATGAGGGAGAGAGATATGAATGATGTCGAAGAGTGAACCATTTCAGAAGTTGCAGCATAAATTAACGAACAGCAAGTACCTTCTTTCATTTTCTCTGCAGCTGCAAGCAGAGGTTTTCTATCAGTTTTCTTCAGCCACTGAAATTTAAAAGAAAAATTACACGAATTCATCAAAAGCATTTTTGTGTCTCAAGTTGTGATTCTATGATAACGACAATGAAAGCCATCCACGCAAGGACAAATAAGCAAGGTGCTTTGTTATTTCATCAGTTTCCTAGAAACAAAAGCTTTCAAGGTGAATAATATATAATCTAAAACTCAAAGCAGGGCTATCACTTACAGTGCATAGTCTGTGTATGGATCGCTCCACAAGCAGTGATACAACAACAAATACAGTCAGCACAGAAGCAACAGACCATGTCGGTGTCAATGCCAATGACCGAAGTTCCTTTGAACTCTCAGACATTTCAAAAGAATTGGATTCGGACATTCTTTCAGATTTGCTTTATCACAACCTCCACCTTACTTGAACCAATTTCCAGTATAAGAAGCAATGACTACTCAAAACAAAGCCAGCAGTTGTACTGTGAGACTTAATACGCCTTCAGAATTAGCAGCACGTAAGTGTACAGTTAAACAAATGTTTTACCCCATGACCTTTGACATTCTACAACATCCAGACTTTAAGAAGATTGCTTCAACTTGGCCATCAAAAAATGGCATTCTTGGTTGCATCATGAGTAGAAATAAGAACAGCGCTCTCCTTCATTTGCCCACTTTTACTATTACCAGTGGAATATTCCAGGCTCCTCCTTCAGCAAAAAGATACCCTAATTTCAATAAATCAGTACTTCCATGCCAAACAAGAAGCAATGAAGAATATGTTACCTCTCCAATGTAAGCAGAGCACAAACAACTAAATGCGCATGTCAATATATAGCTTCCCCAAAAAAAGGCTTATAAGCAGTGGAAACAAAACCGTCACTTTGGAGCAGAAAAATCAGAAAACTGAACTGAAGGAGGAAATGGGTTTGTGTTCATTTACAAAACTTAACAAAATAAAGACTCAGGTTCGAAAGTTCTGAAAGAGCTAGAGAGAGGATTGTGAAGAGGAAACTACAGAGGTCTCAGGTCTGGTGGTAGTTTGCCCAGAAATCGCCTCAAGTGTCAACTTCAAGTTAAGAAGATACTCCGTACTCCGCATTAGCTAGCTGGAAGTCTGAACACTCTTCCCCTCTAGGCGCAAAAGAAATACGGAGTACTAAGTTTTTATCAAAATGCCCCCTAAACCTTTAGTATTTGGTGGACTATGCCCCCTAAACCGTAACGTTGAAGGGAGGCCTTTGTTCAGACGAACCGATAGTGTCGTCGACCTCAACCTCGGCGTCGACGAAGAATCTTTTCTTTGACGATCCACTGTCGGAATTGTTGAGTTATTGCCACTTTGGTGAACGGCTCAAAATCCTCCAAAGATCGATGGGCACCTTGCCTTGGTGCCCGTCATCTTGATATCGGGTCGTGGCAAGCCGGAGAACATCGGCGTCGTTCGTCCCGCTCCTCTGGGACTGGGCGCATTCCTCATAAATTCCGATAAACTTTCGGACTTTACAGTTGATGTGGCTCCAATTGGAAGTGAGTTAGTCCTGGGTACGGTAAGAGCCGTCCTTGTTCATCGTCGTGAAGAACTTCTCCTCGATACGATCCCACATCGCATCCTTTGTTTGCTCCAAACCATTAAAAAAGTATAACAAGAAATTTTTTTATAACACGATTATATATAATTTTATATAAATAAAAACATAAAAATATTAGAAAACATATAATTTTTACCAACGATAGGATGCTCGGAGACGTCAACCCAAGCCGATGCCAATAAGCACTCTTCCTCTAACGTCCACTTTTGGATTGACCGTGCCGCCTCCGTCATCGTGCATTTCGCTTTGTGGCTCTTCCGTCGTGCACTTTTTTTGGTGTCGGATGGTCCCGGTTGAGTCTCCGGAACCGACTCTCGCTCGACGTACCCCGATTGTTGCATCTCGAACATCGTCAAATTACTCCCGAATATTGTGGCCCGAATTGTTGGAAATACCACATCACTTGCTCATGAGGCTCGAGATCGTCGGGGAAGAAGCCAGAGTTGGAAGGATTCATGTTCAAAAGAGAGTTGGAGAATTGAAGAAGATGTGAATATGATTGAAGAAGATTGAAGGTGTGAGAATGGGAAGAGGAGAAGTTTGAAATTTATAAAAAAAAATTAATTAATTTTTTGTTTTTTTGGTTTCAACGGATATATTAGCTGTTGGGGGGAATTCATGCGTCAAACGTCTGACGCTGGCGCCATAACGCCTCGGTGAAGCCCCGGGGGGGCAGTGTTTAACGGCCAGAACGCCCCCTGGGCGTTAAAAGCTCCATAACCCGTGGGGCGTGAGGAGTATTACCAGTGCTTTGAATTGACAAAAAGGTCCAAGCGTGTAAAGGAGACGCACTTCCTAAAAATCGAAAAAGAAGGCCGTTTAACGGAGCATACACGCCGTTTCAAGTTTAAATTTAAAAAAACAAGAATGGGTGAAACGACGTCGGTAGAGTTTACACAAAAACCCTCCCAAAACATCTCTTCCTTCATCGTGCGACCTTTAAGTTTTCGATCTCTCTCCAACCTCTTCTACACCTCCAAAAGTTTAACAAAACCCGCTCCACCCAAAGATTCAGAGATCTGAAGAATAGTTTGATTTCTACAATGAGGACGAAGAATGCTTTTGTGTCGATCTCCAAGAGTGAAAGCGATGGGAAGCATACCGAAAAGACAACGGCACAGCACAGCGGAACCCCAAAGTCCACTCAAGGAAATCTTTAGGTCAGAAATTTGATAATAAACTAGTTATTCTGTCTCCAATTCAATCACTAAACATAGGTAATCCAAGATTCGAATTGTCGACCAAAACACGTTGAGTCGAATAAACAAAAGGTCGACCTTTGTCGACATTCGTCCTAGTTATTTTTATCTAATTCCGTATGAATTTTTTTCACATTATATGCCCTTATATAGGTCTCACAGATCAAGACAAAGGTAAATGTGAAAGAATTTCCAAATATGAAGCTGACTGTGAAGTCGTCACTGCCAGACTTCCAAAAACGGATGAAGGCTGAGTTGACAAATCATATGGAAATCATAGAAGAGTTCAGGAGAAATTCTCCCTTTGGTGCTTTCTTGGATATCCAACGCGTTCCCCCTCCAACCATGTTATGGCAGTTCATGGTTAGGGAGGCCAATGTGGGAGGCAAAGGAGCTCATGAGATGTGGTTTGTAGTAAATAGAGTTCCTGTTAGATACTCTCTAGTGGAATTTTTTTCTGATTACTGGACTGAAGTGTTTAGAACTAGAATCCTGATATGATGAGAAGTATGATTCAAATGCTCTGCGTGTTTTTGTTGAAGAAAAACTGGCCAAAAGGTGTGGTTTATTACACTTCGCTAGTTGAGATGTTCTAAAAACTGTGCCACCTTCTTAAAGATGAAGAAAAGAAAGGTTATGCAAGCTAGTGGATAGTGAAGGTGGCGAGATTGATGTTTGTTGTCCTTGTTTTGATTGGACATGCCAAGAAAGATATGCCCATTCCAGATTGGATCGTTGCCAACTCTGATGATTCAATGGCTTTTCCCTGGGGGACATGGGCGTTCATGGAGTCCCTCTGTATTCAACACCTAGAGAAGGACTTAGTGGCAAAGAAGAAAAAGTTGTGTAAAGGCGGGAAAACATCCAACACCCTTCGCGACACTACTTTGTCCTCCCACCTGCCGTGAGTATTTAAATTCTAATTGGCTTTAAAACTTCCCATAATTACATTGTCTAAATTGGTGCTGGCTACATGCAGTATCTGTTATTTGAGTGCATTCCTAATTTTGGAGATACATTTGGAGAGAAGGAGGCAAACGAATCAAGCACTCCCGAGAATGTGCCTCTGGAGTAATAAATGTTCAAAAAAGCGGTCAGACTCTGTGATTAAAAATGCAATTAATAATGTCAAGGTTAGTAATACAATTTGGGTGGATTACATTTACATTTTTAATATGTTTTTAACTTCAAACTCGTGGAATTATCTCATGCAGAGTGTAAGGAGCATTCTTCTTCTAGATGGAAGTGAAATACATGCTCCTTGGATTACCAGTTTGACCTCCTTGGCATGTGTTGCCAACTCAACACTTGGAGCTTTGGTTAGGGAACACCAAAGTGGTGACAAGCCCGTTCAGATATGCGTGCGAAAAGATGCACCATCAGAAAGTGAAGATGAAGATGCTACAAGAAAGACTTTGACATCAGAAGAAGTTGTTCATTCTGCTAGCCATGAGTCAGACACCCCGGCTAAAAACTATGTTTTTAGGAGGAGAAAATTTCAAGGTCGAGCACCCCAACCTTCTCATAGAAGAAGCAAAGTCCTCCATTTGTCAGAAAAAATAGGAACGTTTCATTTGTTGCTGGAACAGCTAGTGAAAACGTTCCTACTTCTATGAAAGATTTTATGGATGAGAAATTTTTTGAGCTTCAGGAAATGCTTTATGAGAAGTGAAGAGAGAAGTGCAGTGTCATGGAGAGGGAGTTTAAGAAACTTGAAAAAAAGTTTCTCAACACCTTACATGAGACCATGAAAGGAAGGGATGACGAGGGGAAGGTAGATGGTGATGATGACAAGGAAGAAATGAAGGAAGAAGATGATGACAAAGAGCAAGAAGGAGTGAAGGAAGATCATGATGACGAGGGAATGAAGGAAGAAAAAGATGAGTTTGGAGAGAAAAAATTCGACCCATCAGGAGTATCTGAGGAAGTAAGAAAGGAAGAAAACAAGGATGGGAGTCCACCAAACATGTTATCGATCTATGATCGGGTATGAGTTGACCACATCATCGATCTGTAAATGTTTTTTATATACTTTATATTTTTTGTTTTGTACGTGTTTGTGAGCATTCCTTTCCCATTTTAAGCAGAATTATGTTTCTATTTATCTTCAGGAAGTTTTGGAGGAAGAAGCAATGGATGCGAGTCCACTGAATATAAGGTCGACCGTGGATCAGGTAAGAGGTCGACGTGTTTGTCGATCTTTCTTAAAAGGTCGACTTGTTTTTTGTATACTTTATATTTTTTGTTTTGTATGCCTTTGTGAGCATTTCTTTCCCATCTTAAGTATAATTATATTTCTATTTATCAGGAAGTTTTGGGGGAAGAAAAAATGGTTGTGAGTCAACTGAATCTACTGAATGTAAGGTTGATGTGGATCAGGTAAATGGTCGACGTGTTGGTCGATCTTTCTTTATAGGTCGACTTGTCTTTATCGATTATTTTCTTTTTGAACGTTCCTTTTAGGCACCATGTTCCGTTGATCAGGAAGCCGAAGAATGTTGCGAGAGGGAGGATGAAGAGGACCAACAGGATGATTAGGAAATGAGTAATAAAAATGTCCATGATGTTGTGGAGTACTGCAAATCATCTTTAGACAATGTTGATGAGGTAATAAGATCATATTTTAATATTATTTGTTATGAGCCTCCTTATTACGTATTCCTTAATATTATGAGTAGAACACTGAGTTAAGTGATGAAGAGTTTAGAGAACTGATAGATGAGCGTGAAGTTGCTGCTGCAGAGGTACGTAGTAGGTTAAGTTTTATTGAATTTATCTATCCTTGGCATCTTACTTTTAACATCCAGGAATTGGGCCGAGGTCGCTAGGAGAAGAAATGAAGTAATATATTGAAGAACCCCTACACTGGCCATGTATATAAAAAGAGAAAGAGGACAAATGATTCAAGGCCAAATAAGTTAGAGAAAGTTGAAGAAGGGCACCTCCTGATAAGTCGTATATTTGAGCTAACTTCATTATCTTTTGATAGACTTATTAACTTGTATTTTAATACTATTTGAAGCTTAATTGTGTATTATTTGTTAAATAGGTAAATTTGGACTGATTTATAATAATTGATCGATTGTAGGGTTAAATTGGATGAGAGAGGGCTGAATTATAAGTAAAACATTAGCATTGGGTCAATTTACAATTTCCACAAGTCTATTTCTCTTAACTGTATTGTTGGAATCGAGGAGGAGGAGGAGCCACGACATTGGCGACCCACTGGTGATAAAGGTGGAGATCAATAATGTGGTCGTCCATTGCACGTTGGTCGATACTGGCAGCTCGGTCAATATCATGTACAACAATACTTTCAAGGAATTGGGGCTATCCCGGGGTGACCTTAAACCGATCCGTACCCCGTTGTCAGGGTTCACGGGGGACACCATAGAAGCAGAAGGAACCATCACGGTGAGGGCTAGGGTAGGAGATGGCACCCACCGGCTCTGGCTCGACATGGAATTTATGGTAGTGCAGCTTGACTGTGCACACCATTTGATCCTAGGGCGACCGGGTCTGGAGGACTTGGAGTGCGTAATCTCCCCCGTCCACCTGTGTATGAAGTTTGTCACCCCCACCGGGGTTAGAGTGGCTAGAGGAAATCTGAGTTTGTCCCGGTCGTGCTATGTCAGGGTGACCAAGAGCCAAACACGGTCGATGAGAACGTCAGCACGATCTGTGCCGCGATACAGAAGGAGGAAGGACGACCCAGAGCAGAGCCGGTGGAGGAGGTAGAGGAACTTGCTCTGGACCCAGCCAAGTCGGAGCAGAAGGTGAAGGCAGGTAAGACCCTACCACCAAGGCTGAAGGAGCAGTTGATGGGGGTCCTCCGTTCATTCAAAGTGTTATTCGCTTGGGGCCTAGAGGATATGCCTGGAGTCGACCCGCGAATCATCTGCCATAGATTAGCAGTAGATCCGGCCCACAAGCCGGTCAAACAGAAGAAACATTTCCTTTAATTTCCTCAGAAAGGAGAGACTTTGTCACTAAACAAGTGACCACCCTGCAATCCATCGGACACATCTGGGAAGTCCGCTACCCGGAATGGTTGGCAAATGTAGTCCTCGCACCCAAAGGGAACACCTGGAAGATGTGCGTCGACTACATCGACCTGAACAAGGCTTGCCCAATGGATCCTTTTCCGCTTCCCAACATTGACCAGTTGGTGGATGAGACGGTGGGGTGCGAGTTAATGAGTTTTATGGATGCTTTTAGTGGGTACCATCAGATCAGAATGGCTACAGCAGACGAAGAGAAGACCTCCTTCATCACCCCCAATGGGGTATACTATTACAAGGTGATGCCCTTTGGTCTAAAGAACGCTGGCGCGACCTATGCACGGATGGTCAACAAGCTGTTCGCGCTAGTGTTAGTAGGGTGCATGGAAGCGTACGTGGACGATATGATCGTCAAGTCAAAACAGATGGTATCCCACGCTCAGGATTTGGAGAGAGTGTTCAGAATCATGGAGAAGTACCTGCTTCGCCTCAACCCAAAGAAGTGCACGTTTGGGGTTTAGGGAGGCAAGTTCTTAGGGCATATGGTCAGCCGAAGGGGGATCGAGCCCAACCCAGAGAAGGTGAAGGCGATTTTGGAGATGGAACATCCGCGAAATGTGAAGGAGGTCCAACAACTCACCGGGAGCATGCTTCTTATCAAGGATAGTTGATTGAGCGGCACCCTTCTTCCAGACCATAAAGAAGAGCAGAGGCTTTGTTTGGACCGAGGAATGCCTGAGGTCCTTTGAAGGGTTGAAGGCGTATCTTCTCTCGCCGCTAGTACTTTCGAAGTCGGAGCCTGGAGAGACCTTGTGTTATACCCAAGCTCAGGTTTTTATAGGCAAAATCTTGTTAATGGCAGGGAGGGAGAGATGTCCAAAGTGGATAATCGATTATTCAGGGCTTCAGGTTCTTGGGCAATCTTTTCGGAGATTTTCTGAGAAGGGGGATAATCGAATGACAGAAGGGTGTCAATCGATTATTGAAAGTTGCAGGTTTTTGGGAAAGGCTGATAATCGATTGTTTGAGAGTGATAGTCGATTATTGGAGGCTGCAGGTGTTTCACGAAGGGTAGTTAATCGATTACTATTAGTGATAATCGATTATTTGGTAGCTCGGGACAGGAAAATAGGTATTTCTTTGGGGAAGGGAACAAGCCAAGTTGGTGTTAAGGGATATTACACACCCTTATCTTAACTTGGGGTTGAGTCTAGCATTCAAATAAGATATAACACACTTATTTAAATAACTAGAACCTAAAACTCACACTCAAGAGAACCACTCTTAAGATATAGGATTAGGAATTCGGAATGAGACACACAAGTGAATCACTTTGATTTAAATGGAATACAATGCCCTGAAATGCCAGGCCTATGGCCGAATTTATACATACACACACAAGGGAGACTACCAAGCCTCTTATTCACACAAATCAAAGATTGAATAATAGCCACTTATTGATGTACTTTTATTGGGGAGCAAAAACAGGAAAGGGTGTACTTGTGGGGTTGGGTTTTTCGGCCATAAGTGGGGAGAAATATATGTGAAAGTATCCCACTTATTTGGCTGGTTTGGATGGGGGTTATTCGGCCAGGGAGGGAGGTTTGAATGAGGGAAAATGGCTGGCTATTTTGGAGGTTTTATGAAAGGAATATGGAGGATACATTGGCTGGTTGATTGGTGGGGATTGTGGACCCTTATGCTTTGAATTGTAGTTATTGTTTGGCCTGACTAGTTGGGGAGTACAATGGGGAACAAGAATGGGTTGTGACATGGGTTTTTTTTGGCTGTTTATTTTCGGCCAGGGGGGGTGAAGGGAAAAGGGAGAAAGGACAATGTGGTTTAAGTGTCCATTTGGATATTTTGGGGGTTTGGGTTTTACCTTGCTGGTTCGGCCCTAGGGTGGGGTTGGGTTCAAGGATATTATGGCTATGTTGTGTGGCTTGTTAGTGATAAATTCAGCCCAAAAGGGATCATAACACTTAGCCATTATTCCATTGATTTGTTTAACATCTTTAGAATCCTTGGTAGTAACCCGGGGTATATCATCCTCCCGGTCTTCAAAAGAGTTTGTCCTCAAACTCGGCATTTCTTAAGGCTCGAAGTACGGACTAATGTCCCTGATATTGAAAGTAGCCGATACTCCATAATCTCCCGGAAGGTTAATCTTGTAGGCATTATCGTTGATTTTCTCTAAGATTTCAAATGGGCCATCTACTCTTGGCAGCAACTTTGACTTGCGTTTCGTGGGGAAACGCTCTTTCCGACGGTGAATCCAAACAAGGTCTCCTGGTTGGAAGTGGACGTCCTTCCTTCCTTTGTTGATGTGTGCGCTAACCTTCTCGTTCATAGCCTCAATCTTCTCTCAAACCCTGGCGTGAAGGTCTTGGATTTCTTTTGACCGCTTGTCCGCTTCCCAACTGTATTTGGTTCCCGTGATGATCGAATCATGTTCAAGTGGGGTCAAGGGGTTCGAACCATAGACCACCGTGAATGGGGATAGTCCGGTAGTCTTGTTCGGGGTTCGGTTGTAGGCAAACTCGGCGTGCGGCAGAAGCTCTTCCCATTGCTTGATATTCTTCTTGATGAGGGCTCGTAAGAGTGTTCCAAGGGTACGGTTGGTGACTTCGGTTTGGCCATCGGTTTGCGGGTGGCTTGACGTACTAAACTTCAGTTTAGTACCCAATTTTCTCCACAAACTCATCCAAAAATGACTTAAAAACTTTGTGTCCCTGTCCGAGACCATGCTTCGGGGAACGCCATGTAATTTAACTATCTCCCAAAAATAAAGTTTCGCCACTTGTGAAGCATCGTAGGTGGTCACGCATGGCACAAAGTGCGCCATCTTTGAGAATCGGTCCACCACGACCATTATAGAATCCTTGCCACGCTGTGTCCTTGGTAGCCCGGTAATGAAGTCCAAGCTTATGTCTTCCCATGGGGCAAAGGGCATGGGTAGGGGTAGGTGTTTGCCTTGGGGCAGTGAGTGTCCTTTGGCCAAATGGCAGGTGTTGCAACATTTGATAAAGTGCTCGATGTCCCGTTCCATCTTTGGCCAGTAGTAGTGCTCTCTCGGTATCATGTGAGTCTTGTCGACTCCATAATGTCCAGCTAGACCTCCTCCGTGTACTTCATCGATAAGGGTTTCTCGAACGCTGCATTTCGGGATGCAAAGTTGGTTACCTAGAAAGAGAAAACCATCCTTGATTAGGAATTCTCCATGTGGCCAAATAAGGCACTTGGAATAAGTGTCCTTGAAGTCTTCATCCTCTTTGTAAAGCTCCTGCAAAAACTCAAAACCAACAAGTTTGGTACTAAGTACCGTTAGTAATAAATGCCTCCGGGACAAGGCATCAGTGCCCTTGTTCATGGTTCCGTTCTTATGTTTGATGGTGAAGGTGAAGGTTTGGATATACTCGACCCATTTAGCATGCCGGGGTCGGAGTTTATGTTGCCCTTGGATATACTTTAGAGCCTCATGGTCGAAATGTAAGATGAATTCCTTGCTCACGAGATAATGGCGCCAATGCTCAAGTGACCGCACCAATGCGTAGAACTCCTTGTCGTATGTGGAATACCTCTTTCTTGTGTCGTTTAGCTTCTCGCTAAAGTACGACACTGGGTTCCCTTCTTGGGATAGGACAACCCCGATTCCAACTCCCGATGCATCACACTCGACCTCGAATAGTTTGTCAAAACTAGGAAGGGCTAACACGGGGGCATGTGTTAATCGCTCCTTGATTGTTTCAAAGGCCTGTTGGGCCTTGGAGTTCCACTCGAACTTCTGATTCTTCATCAAATCCGTGATAGGTGCCATGATGGTGTTGGATCAGCCCGAAAGCAAACAGGTGCTTTTTTGGTGGGATCAGCCCTGGGTGTGAAAGAGGAGGAGGGGTTTCTTGAGGTAGATGGGGAGGAGGAGGCGGGGTTTGGACCGTGGTCAGTAGTGGGGTATTTGGGGGTAGTGTAAGGTAATTTTGGTGAAGGGTAAGGTGGTTTGGATGTGGAGGAGTAGGGCCATGGGGAAGGGGTGTTATTTTTGGAGAAAAAGGCTTTGGATTTCTTATGTTGAGCTTCAACTTTGAGGGCCAACTTCGTGAGTTCTTCAAGAGAGTCGTAATTTTGCAACTCCACCGTGTTGGCTATTTGTAGGTTTAGACCGAATAAGTAACGAACAAAGGTTTGTTCGTCATCTTCTTGCAAGTCACATCTCAGCAAGAGCTCTTCAAACTCCCGGTTGTATTCTTCAACGGATTTAGAACCTTGACTAAGCGTTTGAAGCTTAGCAAAATTCTCACGAACATATTCGGCGGGTAAAAACTTCTTTTTTAGAAGGGACCTCATTTTTGCCCACGTGGACACTGGTTCTTTGTCGTTTCTTCTCCTCTTGGTGCACGTATTAGTCCACCAAGTTGATGCATACTTCCGGAACTTTAAGGCCACTATCTTGACCTTCTTTTCATCGGAAACATCTTTGAAGTCAAAGACGCGTTCCACTGTTTCTAGCCACTCGAGGAACTCGTCCGGGTCGTTCTTCCCTTCAAAAGTTAGAATGTCAACTTTGAAGTCAGAACCTTCAGTGGCTTTAGGCTTCATGGTTCCACTAGATGTTATACCCGAACTCCGGGAATAAGCTTTAAGTTTGGGACAAAGCTTCTTAAACTGCAGGAGCAAGGAATAATCGATTATCAATTTATGATAATCGACTAACAAGAGGTTCAGTTTCTTGGGAAGGAAATTTGGGAGTTCAGGGAAGGGAAATAGTCGATTGTCACTTTAGCAACAATCGATTGTGGGATTGTGTAGTTTAAGCCAAGAAGGTTCAAAAGGGTGGGATGGTCGATTATCAATAGTTGATAATCGATTATTTGGGGTTTCGGATTCTACCAAGGAAGTTCAGGGGTGTTGGATAGTCGATTGTCAGTGAAAGATAATCGATTATCAGGGTTACCCGAGGTTTCAATATGGAAGGAAAGTGGCTGGGCTATGTAGGGAAGTTATGGGAAG